CTATTTTTAAACAGGCTGCACCGTACCCGGCACAGCGGTTTAAGTGCTCTGGCAGCAGTGTGGGTTTGTAGTGTGGACATGACTTCCTGCCCCCCTCTCCCGAAGGCCAGTGCAGACAGAGTCTCCTGGATTCATCCTCATCTCGGAGGACGCTGTGTCCCGGTGTCTGTCACTGGCTGCCCTGTTCTGCCCTGTTCTGAGTGCACGTCCACACCCCAGGTAACCAACAGCCGGGGAGAAACTTCCCTCCAGAGAGCAGCACCAGGTTCTCCCCTCCCCCCAATGCATCCCTGACATCATCTTTGGCCACAATCATTCTCCAAGACGTGTGCCAGCCTGTGTCTGCCTTCCCTGTTCCCTTTCCATCTTTTTTTCTACAAGGCTTTGGGCGTCTACATAGCACATACATGTGCACGTCGCCAGTCTGCTTCTCAGGATGTGGCAGACCTGGTGGCTGGATACTAATCCCTTCTTCCGGCGACTGTGTCTGGTGAGGAGACAGTCGTATGCCTCTTTTGTTCTGGGGATATCAGTTAAAAGATGCATTCATGGTTATGGTTTTCAGACAAAGAACCCAAATGGCCTAGGTATGATACAAATACAGGCTGAGCTGTGAATGACATTTCCCCAGCACCAGATTCTCAACCCCCCACCAAGCCTCAAAGGAGATGTAGACTTGACTCCCATGTCTATCAACGTTCCAGTAAATGGAAGAAAACACATTTTAAGGCTTCAGTTATTCTGGAATAGCAAGGCAGGCTCAATGATAAAAGAATATTTGTAGAGCACTAACTGTTCTTTCTGCTAGTGGGGAGGTATTGCTTTGGTTGAGTTTCTCAATGACTTGGGGGGCTGACATGCTTTGCCCTGATTTTGAGAAGAGCTTGTAGGTCCCTGTCTTAGTTAGGGTTTCTATTGCTGGGAAGAGACACCATAACCACAACAACTCTGATAAAGGAAAACATTACCTGGGGTGGCTCACTTACAGTTCAAAGGTTCAGTCCATTATCATCAGGGTGGGACACAGTGGCATGCAGGCAGACATGGTGCTGGAGAAGGAGCTGAGAGTTCTACATCTTGCAGGCAACAGGAAGTGGTCTGTGCATTGGGAGTAGCTTGAGCATAGAAGAACTCAAAGCCCACCCCCACTGTGACACACTTCCTCCAAAAAGGCCACACCTCCTAATAGTGCCACTCCCCTTTGTGGACATTTTCTTTCAAAACACCACAGTCCCCCTTTCAATCAGGACCTGGATGCTACCTATACTGGGTGTCTCCCTACACTCTTTGCTGGCTGCTGTGGTGACTGCTGTAGTGACTGCTAAGTTTCCCCGCGTGTCACCCATGGGCCCCTGAGGGTCCCTGAGAAACTTTCAGAAGTCTGGGGTCCGAATTATTTTTGTAATATAAAAAGGCATTATTTTTCAGTGCAGGAGAGATGGCTCAATGATTATGAGAACATACTGCTCTTGCAGAGGACCTGAGGTTGGTTCCCAGCATTCACACCGAGTGGCTCAGAACTGCCTGTCATTTCAGCTCTAGAGGATCTGATACCCTCTTCTGATCATGATCTCTGTGGGCACCCACAAGCACATGCATCCCAGCCCACATACAAATATCACTAAAAATAAAATACAGTCTTAAAGAAAAAGACCAACCTCCTCCATTTTGCATTCAGAGCACATCTGCACTGGTGGCAGAAAATCCAACAGAGGACGCCAGCTTAAGGACATTAGTTTAGGGCAGATGATGGGGCCAAAGTCACTGCACCGTCACTTGCGTGTGCATCTGCACATAAAATAACAAAGCAAACTACAACGACAAAGCAAGCCACACTCATGGCCACCCTTGACAAGGCAGGAAAAACGACCAACAGTAACGATGCCGGACCCCTGAGCCCTTGCTTCCCTAGCCATTGTGTGACAAAATGAACTGTGCACACACAGCCTTTCTGTAGCCTGTGAAAGGCTTGGTGACATCCCACGGTCTTGCTCACTGAACTAGCTGCTTCGGGATCCTCCCACGAAACGCTATTTCTATTTAAAGGAATGACTGGTAGCGTCTTTTCAGACAGGGGCATTTACCAGAGAGTAATCTGGAAAATGAGTAAAAAAGAGGACACAGGGCAAAGCACAGATGATATTTGTTGCCAGTGATTGAATTGGGCCTTTCACATGAATATTAGTATTTTTGAAAACTTGGATTGAGCTCGACAGCCCCCCCCCCTTTTTTTCTTGGTTTTCTGAGACAGGGTTTCTCTGTGTAGCCCTGGCTGTCTTGGAACTCACTGTGTAGACCAGGCTGGCCTCAAACTCACAGAGATCCATCTGCCTCTGCCTCCTGAGCACTGGGATTAAAGGTGTGCGCCACCACCGCCCAGGGACAAGCTCCCTCTTACTGAAGACTTCTCCGATGGGAAACTGACCAGTGGGCATGTCAGTGACACTAAGTTTTCTCTACAGGACTAAGTAGTGAGTCATGACCCGGAAGAACTTCATGACTCAGTGGACTGATCTTAAGTGACCAGTGTGTGATGCTGTAGATCCCAGCTGGGGGACAGTACTGCCCAAAGTGAACAGACTAGTGTGGTTTAGGGTAACAGAAGAGGTGAGTTCACGGGTAGGTGTTCCACGCGGCAGCTAGCCTTTCAGAAGATCCCACTGCCTGTGGTATGATCAATGATGAAAATCCACCCGTATCGGAAGGGACTCTTAAGATGCTCCTTCCTGTTCCAACCACATGTCTGCGTGAAGCTGGCATTTCTCCTTCAACTTCACCCGAACAACTTGAGGGTGCAGAATAGACACCAGGGCTGCCACGAAGCCAGAAGACCTTAAAGATCTGCGACAAGTACACAGTGTCACCCTTCTCGCTTCAAGTGCTGGTGTGTCTCAACCACACACTGCTTACATAAATATATGTGGTGGGTATGGAGTCATTTTTAGATAGGATAAGAGAGAGCTATTTCGAAATGGTCTGTTAGTTTCTCTGTGTCAACTATCACAGTGTACCCGACAAGCACATGTTCTTGGGGTGCTGGAAAAGCATAAGAAGGCCCCGAGCTGGGGCCCCATGGCACTGTGTGCCAGGCCTACTGGATCTCACTTTCCTTGAGAAACTCACTTTCCTGCTTCCTCATCCCTATTTGGTTCAGGAGATGGTCCAGCACCAGAACTGAGTTCCTTGGAGCGCACCAGAAGCCATGTTTGGCTGGGAGAGATCATCTCTTCCACAGAAAGTAATTAGAGGTCCTCTAAAGGCACAGAGCCCCAATTATTTTTGCTATTTCAGTCCCTGTGCCCCGAACCTTAGAGAAAAGCACTCATGAGCTGTCTTCATGGCATTTCTGCATTTTGACATGTCACTTGGCACCCGTCTGGCCAGGAGGGAGCACATTCCAGGGCCATTTTCTGCTGCTCCTTTGCCTGGACACAGCTCATCACATGACATTGTATTTGTTCACCCAGACTTCCGAGGGTTCAGCCTCAGCCTATACCCACGCTGACAGGGACTCTTAGTGACTGTCAGACCTCCTTTCCTTCCCTGGGGCTGCCAGTCCCCATGACAACCTGTCTGAGCACCAAGGAATGCCAGAAGTGACAGTCCCACCTAGCATCTGTTTGCATTCTAAAGGGCTGGCGTGCGCACAGCCCACGTAGGAGACACTGGCCTGGGAGGTGAGAGAGATTCCCCCCGAAGGAATCTGGGTCACGTCACATTTTGTCGATTATGTCTGAGGCTATGAGCCCAGATGGCCCTAGCAGAAGAGTGGGCCTGGGGTGTGGGGCGGAGTTCTGACACACAAGTGTGGCAGTGCGGGTGTGAGTGACGGTGTGAGTCTTGCTGCTTGGACACCCTGCCCTACGGTCTGTCAGCCCCCTCACTTCCAGGGTCTCCACTGGGGGAGCTACTTCTAATCTGTCCCATTCCTTCTGCCCGGCAAGGGACCTGCTCCCGCCTGGCCCTTCTGAGCATAGCCTCAGTGTCGTGTCCCAGAGAAGCTTTCTCTGAGGAGCACACCTCGGTAAACCTCTCCTTTGCACCTCCCTTTCACCTTTCCCCTTTCACCAAGTCGTGGGAGCTCCAGGGACGGCAGAACAGATGTCTCCTTTCCCCAGAGAGACCACAAGCCTCAGGAGTGCTGGGCCCACCTATTTTGCTAAGTGTCACCTCTCCACGTTGGCCGCGAGCCTGACATATGAGGCACCTCATCCCCATGGGACGATGATACGGAAGAGGGCAGCGTCACAAAGCACGGGCAGCCGGTGCCGGCCCGTGCCAGCCCGTGATGTTCTGCTGCACCAGATGGCGAGCACCTATGCCCGCCGGAGAGCTAGGCCGATCTCCCGCTGAGCCAGACAGGGTGCTGCTTCCAGTACTGTGAGCCCTCCAAAGGGAACGAGGCGCCTGTTTCATTTAACTTGGAGCTTCCGGTCCAGGAACAAGATCTGGGGGCGGTGGGGGGCGAGGTGGTGGTGGTGGTGACGACTGTGAGGAACCCGAGTTGGGAAGATGTTCTAGAACAGGGGGGGGGGGGATGGGGCAACGGAGCGCCGCTGCTTGACGGGATGGCTCCAAGGGGGGATGGGCTCACACTGGAAGCGGGCCCTCCAGTGCACCGGAAGAGCCTTTCATAACACCCTGTGCTACCACTAGGGTTAGACGGAGGCTTCCCAGGGTCCAGAAAGGTAGGGTCCAGCACAGAGGTAGCCAATGCATTCTGGAGGGTGCAAGAAATGTGGCAGCTCACTCGCACTCCGAGGTATCTCTAGAGAGAGGAGGGCCAGACAGGCCTCTCTGACCAGATGGAGATGTGTGGAGTCGGCCTTTCCCTCCAAACCCCGACCCGCCCCCCCCCAACACCAATCAAAGCTCCCAACCACTGTCTGGGAAAAGCTCTGCAGGTATCCAGACATGTCCCCACGCCCTCCCTTGAGATGCTGGGGTACAGCGGGAAGGTTGCTGCCGCTGAGGCTGCGGGGGCTGGGGGTGGTACCTACAGTTCGGTCACGTCCTTCGGCATGCCTTTGGGGAGGGCACGGAGGCCCCTGCTGCTGCATCGCACCACCGTCTCCACGCAGGTGCACTGCTCAGGGCAGCGCGGACTCAGTAGGCAGCTGCTCTCCTCGTTGCCTGCCAGGGGGGGAACCCAGACAGGGTGAGCATGGGAGGAGACGAGCCCCACCAGGAGAACAGCTGGGCAGAGCTGGCCGGCAGGGCCAGGCTGTTCCCAGGAAAGGCCAGCTCTGCCCAGCTCCAGCGGTGGGCCTGAGCCAGAACTGAAGGTAGCTGCCGGGTTCTCCCACCCTCAGAGGGGAAGGATGCACACGGGGGAGCATGGGAAGCGACATCGTCATCTAGTGCATTCTGCACGAAATGAAGACCAGTCAAGCTGCCGACCCAGACCCACGGCCACAGATAGGGAAGGGGGTCCTGTCTATCCCGAGGAATAAACCACACGCCCAAAGGAGCAGCCAGCCAGAGGCTGAGCCCAGTCCCTTTCCTCCTCCCCACCCACCACTGCATAGTCGTCCCTCTAGGGTGACGAGCATGTCAGCAGCCCCCGTTATGATGCACCTCAATTAATCTGCAAACAAAGTCTTCTGTCCTAAGGTAACAAAAAAAGTCACCAAGTAAAGAACTAATACTGGCTTGAATTCATGCCATCAAATATGCCTTCTGCGGTCCTGAGACCCAAAGCCTCAGATTTGGGGGTTCTTATCTCTTAGTCAAATGGCAGGAATTTTCTTGAAGCCTTTTTCCCATAGGTACATACTCTGACTTTCGTCATAACAGAGACAGGAAGATCTCCCTGTCCAGTTGTGTAGGCTGCGCCCAGTACCGAGTGGCATACCATCTAAGAGGCACCACTGTAGGCACGGCAGGGGAGTGTACCAGGCACAATGGCATTCACAGGGAGGACAGTGTCCGATATGAACAAACATCTTGTCTTAGTGAAATCAGTACAGATGTGTGCCTGAGGGAAGTAAGGTGGCTTCAGAAAGAGACACCGTTTTTCAGTCTGAGGAACAAGCCATGTGGGCCAGCCGCAGGCCCTCAGAGGCCTCAGAGCAGAGTTCCTCAGAGCCCACGGGCAGGAGGGTAGAGTGGAGGCAGGGGTCTCAGCAGCATGCCTGCCTTCCCAGTTCACTCCTTACCGTCGCAGGTGAAGTCCTGGATGGCCACGTCTTGGATGGGAATCTCCTTGAGGAAAAAGGGCTTCTGGCATCTGGGGTTCCCACTGACGATCCGGCGCTTCCTCAGCCACCGGCCGAGCCAGGCCAGGTGGCAATTGCAGTTGAAAGGGTTTGACAGGAGGTTTCTGAGAGAGAGAGAGAGAGAGAGAGAGAGAGAGAGAGAGAGAGAGAGAGAGAACGAACCTTTAAGTGGTCATTGTCCATCCTGACCCTAGCTCAAAGTCTAGGGGCCACTCCTGTAGCCCACACTAGGTCTCCCTGGGCGGTGCTGGGGTCTTGGCATCCCTTCCTGGAGAATGCCGATTTTTTTTCTCTCTACATCAAGGGGGATGAATGTAGCTGCCCTCAACCATATCCCATGCTCATGGGTGTGTGGTGACCGCCAGCCTTGGCCTCCTCTGTCCATCAAGCCCCACTCGGGCAAAGCTGGCAAGTCCTCTGTGGACAATTTTCTGTACTCGAGAAGGGTGTTCATGTCCTCCTTCCCATGGAAATGCCTGCAGTGTGCGGGGCTGGGTGTCAGGGCGCCCGACCTGGGGCAGCTGAGCCCATCCCCTTTTCTGACTTGTGCCCCCCACTTTCCGCTGGCGGCGCCAGTACTAAGGTTAGTTCCATGACTGTCAGAGCTGCCCACTGACTGAGGTCTGTGAGGCTGGCATCTCTGCGGGCCTCTGCACACCCAGAAGCCAGCCTGGGGACCTGCCACAGGTAATTCGCTACTGTCTAGGCAGTGGCCTGACAGACCGATGGGGGAGGGGACGCTGTAGCAGTCGTCACTCTGAGTGCTTGCCCCAGGCCTGGGACCATGCTAAGGAATTTACAGCTCTATCAGG